ACAATTTCATGACAGTCCACCATACAAAACATTTTGTGCATTTCCTTTCTTGCTGATCTGTTAGCTGTTGCCATTATCAACAGGACAGGGCATTCTGTGACCTACTTTTGGAAATTCGACCAACATTATGAAAAGTTGTCACCAGGTTAAGAAATAAACATTAAACTGTTGTTTGATCAAATTGGGTTACTGTGAAGATTTTTTGAAGATTTGACCTACATTAGCAAAATGCTCATAGAGATCAGAAAATAACATTTAACAGATATTATAGGTCACTGTGACCTTATTTTCAAAATTTGAACAACATTATCAAACATGGTCATAAGGGTCAGATATTAATATTTAACAACTGTGTGATAAAATAAGGTCACCGTGGCCTAATTTTCAAAGTTTGGCCTTCATTATCCAAAATAGTAATCGGAAAAAAAGAGTGGAAGCCAGGTCTATGTGAAATACTTTTTCTGGTTTGACCTCAACTGTATAAATTGTTACAGGATTCAGAAATTAAAATAAAACCTACTTTACAAAATTAGACGTACATTTTTTAAACTGTCATTATGTTCAGAAATCAAATTGCGACCTTGTAACATACTTTTCAAAATTTTAACTACATATACAACACGCATATAAGTTGTTTTTTTAATAATCAAAGAGTTACAAAACAAACATGTCATGAATGTCATTGGGACCTACTTTTAATACTTTCTTTTCAATTACATAGTGCTCAAAATGATAGTCTGGATAATGTTTTGGTTGAACAACGAGCAAAGCACGCGACAAAACGTCGTTTATGATGGTTCTTGTGAAGTATTGAAATCCAATACAAACGACGCAGGTCCGTACCGTTATCATTAATCGGTAATCAACAATGTATATGCACATTGTCACTCTTTTTCATTCTTAAGTCCCTATACCCATTCTCCAACATCATAAAATACATTCCCACACGAAAACAAGCATTAACCGAGTTAAGTCTTGCTCTGCTAGTCATTAAGTTAAGAGAAAATATGAGTCATGCTATTGTTTTTGCTTATTTTAACAACCAGAAATATTAATGCAAATTTTTTGTTGTATATTATATTGACAGACTTAGTGAGGGGATTCAACCTCACACTAGCAATTCGTTCTCTCAAAACACAAATAAACCTATGCATGCCAGCCATGAACTTGACACCAATTCTTTAACACTTCGTCAACTGTTATAAACACGCCCACAAACATCGACTCTTACTCTCAGAAAAAAACAATGCACTACCGATCCAACAGATTTAACCATTGACAGCATCGTGTACAACACATGAAAAACAGCAGAAATAATCAAGATAAGCAAAGAAAAAAGGCAGCTGGTGCCTGCAACCCTTTGGGGATATGACAGAGTCTTATCTAACCGGTTCTCCGGTGTAAAATTGTTCCTTTTCTTTCAGTGTTACTTGTATCTCTAACTTTATCTTCTGTCCACCTTTTGTAATCTCTCTCTCTCCTCAACCTTGTCCTCCCATTCCTACACTGTTTCTGGTTTTCCTTCCTCATACTCTTCCAAAGAGTTAATCATCTTGTACCTACAGAGTGCCTAACACATATCGCGAACAGAAGTTTGTTTTCAAAAAACTTGTCGAGGTCCAAGCTAGATGTTTGCATGTAATTTGCATGTACACGTGTTACGGCCAGCGCAATTTTGCTCCAGTATCCGAAAAGTCCAGAGTCTGCAAAATGTTGCGTATGAAAGTATGTACCCGTTTTCGTGGCTGATGTATCGCCGATGTACATGTATGTTTCTTAATGAATCTGTCAGAGTAAACGTTTTTGTTTCTTCACGACCTTCCTTGTAATAGTTTCCCGTTTTTCAGGAATCATCCGTGTGTTTTTATCAAGTTCAAGATAACTGATGACGTTTCTTTTTTAGTTGTATTATTTTTATTTTTCAAAAGTATTTCTGGTACAATATGCATAAATAGATACGTTTTGTTTTATACTCCCTTACACCCATGCACACACTCACTGCATTCTCATATACCCACACATCATTTCATATGTTTTATCATCATCATCACCCAGATATCTTTATCATGACATTGACATCATCCTCATCGTTATCATCCTCATCAGTAAAATCATCATCATACTCGAACTGATTTCATCGCCATGAGACTCTAATCATCATCATCATCATCATCATCATCATGCTCGACCTGATTTCATCGGCATGACACTCCAAACATCATCATCATCATCATCATCATCATCAACTGATGACGTTTCTGATAATTCCCTTGCTGACTCTTTCGCGTGTATTCCAATGTATTTCCTTTCGCTTACTTAGCATGTAAATGTTTCAATTATGTAGGACATATCTAGATGCCAACATCATCATTTTATGCTTTTTAGATACTTTGCCGACAGGATTTTTTTAAATAACTTGCATTCCTTTATTAGACTTAGAAGCTTCCTGTTTTACGTAATGTATTCAAGATTACACGATTTTAAACGTTGTGTCTCAATGCTAGAATCTTTTATTTCGTTGACTAACTCCTATGAAACAAACATCAATATAGTTTAATCGGTACAGACGTTTTTGAATACAACAAAGCGTTTTGATACTACCTGAACGAACCTTTTACAATCGACATCGAATCTGCTCCCTCTGGACTTCCTTTCCCGTCTTTCATCTACTTTCTCTTCCAATCCCCCTTTACTTTTTGTGATAAAGTAGATTTAGACAAAAAAATACATCTACCTTATTATTATCTTGTAAATTTATCTCTATGTACATAGTACGTCACGTGATTTAAATGTAATTCATATGCTGTATTCGTGGAGAAGAGCTTGTAAGTTGTTAGAACTTGTCTCTTATCCATTTGTCTGTTTCGACAATAAAATATGTTTAAATCAAGCGCGGGCGGGTATATGTACGTAGACGAGTGTATAGTGATTCGGATGTCAAGCGCGGCCGGGTATATGTACGTAGACGAGTGTATAGTGATCCGGATGTCAAGCGCGTCAGGGTATATGTACGTAGACGAGTGTATAGTGATCCGGATGTCAAGCGCGGCCGGGTGTATGTACGTAGATGAGTGTATAGTGATCCGGATGTCAAGCGCGGCGGGTATATGTACGTAGATGAGTGTATAGTGGTACGGATGTCAAGCGCGGCCGGGTGTATGTACGTAGATGAGTGTATAGTGATCCGGATGTCAAGCGCGGCGGGTATATGTACGTAGATGAGTGTATAGTGGTTCGGATGTCAAGCGCGGCCGGGTGTATGTACGTAGATGAGTGTATAGTGGACCGGATGTCAAGCGCGGCCGGGTGTATGTACGTAGATGAGTGTATAGTGATCCGGATGTCAAGCGCGGCCGGGGGAATGTACGTAGACGAGTGTATAGTGATCCGGATGCCAAGCGCGGCGGGTATATGTACGTAGACGAGTGTATAGGGATCCGGATGTCAAGCGCGGCGGATATATGTACGCCGACGAGTGTAAAGTGATCCGGATGTCAAGCGCGGCGGGTATATGTACGTAGACGAGGGTATAGTGATCCGGATGTCAAGCGCGGCGGGGATATGTACGTAGATGAGGGTATAGTGGTACGGATGTCAAGCGCGGCCGGGTGTATGTACGTAGATGAGTGTATAGTGATCCGGATGTCAAGCGCGGCGGATATATGTACGCAGACGAGTGTAAAGTGATCCGGATGTCAAGCGCGGGATATGCACATTCCTTCTCTCTTTGCCTTTTTTTCTGTAACGTTCAGTTCTTAATGCAGCGTCCGCACATTTTTCTCTCTCCAATTTCTAACACTTTCTTATCAAGAATTGAAGAAATGAATACTCTCTATAGCTACTTGGGTGAGTAGCTTAAACAGTTTCGATTTTCATTTGATAACCATACAAAATTGCTGGGCGTGAGTAAGCGAATCTTGCGGGATTTAGTCCTTGTTTTAATTTATATTTTTTGTACTCTTGTGATAGCTGTGTTCAATATCAAGTATTCTTTATTTGAAATAAAATAGTATGTGAGCTACATTTTGTACTATAAACCCATTGGGCCTCCTGTTTGATATGAAAAAAGTCGAAACGATCTAGTAATATAATGTTTACCACCAAACACTTTTCTGTTGCAATTTGTTTGAGGTTTTGCCATATTTCAGCTAGAATGACTAGACTATTAGGGGAGCTGTTTTATTAAAACAACAAAATATCTTATTATAAAAAAAAACAATTCTGATATTAAATTATCAAGTTGATTATCCACGTTAACAAAGAATTTTTAATATTAAAACAATATATTCTAATATAAGTAAATTGTTTGGTAATTTTCAAAATTTCAAATATATTTTGTTAAATTTTCTGAAATGATATTTTAATATCAGCTTTTATTCCCTTTTTAATGGGTTAAAATTTGAATGGCTTTCAGTCTGGTTCTAGCAGTACTGTAATGTTGTTTACCGATGAAAAACACCAAACAATAATATTCAAGTTACAATCGGTGCTGTAAGCAGAGATATATAAAGTCAGTATATATATATATACGTCTCGGTTGTATAAGCAATTAATATTACATGGGCTGCATTCGCGTATGCCAATTGAAAATGTACATGAGATGCAGAAATATTCCGCGATTTATACTGAAAAGAACGCACTTAGACCGAATGTAAGCAGAGCTAAAAAATGCACAGTTTCGGAGTTTTGTGACAAATGTCCTTCTTTCGAGCGTCAACTAATTAGTTGTAATTCGATAGAGCTCCTCTATACTGGACTCAAAAATCAAATAATTTTTAATGTAATCATAGTAATAATATAACTACCAAAAAATGTCCTATGTTATGCTAACTAGCAAGTCAGTCGATAAGCACGTGCCAAAAAATCCCTGCAGTCAGTCTCGGTACGGAACTGTCGTGTTTCATTTTCAGGTTGAACTACGCGAAAGGGGCATTACTAGTGAGTCTATAATTCATGACGTCATAATAAGGCGCATCGAATCATAGAGTTACCTCCCTTCATTTGAAAAGAACCCGGATGTTCTCCATTGTGTTTACCTGTCAACTGGATTTCGATTGCGTTCGACATATTGGCACGAGAGTAATTATTCAAATACGTAAAGGTCTTTAAGGAGGTCCGTAAAATCGGTAAAAATGCTTGGAGGTTCCATGTTTAGATCAATGGAAGAAGACCCATTTTTTGCGTAAGTAGAGCTGCTGACTGACACATGTTGACATTTTCTCCCCAAAGGGCAAAACCTGATGTCACGGGAAGTGTGAGATAGATTTATTTAGCTGGTGTAAGATATGTGGGCGTTCATTTTCAGTTATAAATTCTATTCATTACATCCTCCTCATGTAGATTTCCATTATAGTGAATTTGTTTACGAATATTTATTGTATCACTGATTTCACCTAGTTTTACAGCTGAACATATAGGCCTTTATGCATTCATGAATACAGACTGCTTCCTCTAGCATTCTATTTTCCAAAACCGAGAAAAAAAAATCAGAAATAGCTTGCCAAGTGTAATCAAGATACTAATATATTACCCATATAGGAACAGGCTGTTTTAAAACTTAGGTAGAAGACACGCTGACGATATCAGTGACACTCCCCCCCCCCCCCCCCCCCCCCCCTGATCAATATATAATCAACTCGCCTATTATATATACGCCAATTGGGGTATGGATTTTTTACTAAAAATAGCCAAAATCACTTTAATCTTATCTTTTTCAAATTGTTTATCCACGTCGCATTTATTTAGTCATGAAACATCATACAAATGCAAATATAAAATTTATTTCCATGTTGGAAAGTACCAAAAATAAATGCAATACTTCCGGTAGAGTTACATCAAGTTTCTAAGTAGCCAAAGCTTTCAGTTAACATCTATTAGCAAAATATTGTTTACCTTGTCATAAATAATGCGATTTTTAATAATATATTGAAAAAGTTACTGTTAAAGCGATTTGGGTTATTTTTAGTAAAAAAATCCATATTCCAACTGGCGTATAACTACAACAGGCGAGTTTGCGTATTATAAGCAAGTTGGTGATTTTCCCCAACCTGATAATGAGGGTTTGTCCCTCATTTATGAAAATTCTCAGAAGACCAAGACAAAATATCTGGCTTTGATAGGAATTTCTCTATTTCCCAGGACAAAAATGGCAAGCTTTATGGAGAAAACGTTCAACGAAAACTCATTGTTTTTTAGCGAAATAATCACCAGGTGACGGTGAAAACACTATGAAATAGAATTTCAAAATAAGATACATTATTATATAATACAATCAAGTAGTAAATACTATATGAATATCTAATTAGAAAAACATTATGCCGTCAATGTGCTCCTCAACAGAATGAGTGTTTTCTTCAGCATCACATAGATCTTTCTCTTGGAGATTAAATTCATGCATAGTACATCTAGACTAGTGTTGTCTTACAAACATAGTATTGTCATGATCAAAGTGCAGGAAAATAGGGAGTACATCCCATTTCGTTTGTTAAGGTTTAAAGTTACTCCCAAGTAAAAATATAAGCTTTCCACATATTTAAGTAACACCTAATCTAACTTGGGTTGGGTTAGAGAGACATTACTACCAACTCCAGTACTACATGTACTATATTCATATTTATTACATACTTACTAATAAATACATTTTTTTTGTATATGCGATACGACACAATTGCTCTTACCCATATCAGCACTCGCCGTATCAGCCCGGCCGTATCACACCCCAAAACCTGTATCAGCCCGCAAAACCTATATCACACTCCAAAACCTGTATCAGCCCGCAAAACCTGTATCACACCCCAAAACCTGTATCAGCCCGCAAAACCCGTATCACACCCCTTTTGGAAATTTTTCGTTTTTCAATATTTCAAAAGAAAAATAGATTATAAGATAGTAGCTTTTATTAGTAAGTATGTAATAAACAGAATAAAACATGCCCGTTTCCATATCAAACCCAGTATCAACCCTCGACCAATATCAGCCCTCGACCAATATCAGCCCTCGGGCCTTTGGTCCTTGTGCTGATATTGCAGTCTCGGGTTGATACTGGGTGTGATATGGAAAAAGACATGTATAATTCTCTATATATAAATGGGTTCTGCGATGCTGGGTGTGGATTAATTAGGGATTATAATCATTTGAAATTTGATTGAGGGCACCTGTGATTGTCTTCTTTGATTGTTCAAGGATAATTACAATATGTATTTCTTAACTAAGATATGATTTATTGGAAAAAAAGTTTTTGATAACTGTTTTATCAAAAGAAAGTTAGGCAAAAATGTCTGTCCTTAATTAGATGTTAAAATAAATTTAATGATTACTTCACAGTGGGCACAGGGAACATATGAGAAGGATGGATTCCCTCTTTGCTGATCCTTTTGGGATGATGCAGCCCCATATCCAGGCTCCAAGGCAGTTACAGCTGGAAGCACCGAGAGCCCATGCTCGGGTTGGGAATGCAATGGTCCCCCAAGGATTCATGGACCCCATGGACATGTTTGGCTCCTTTGACAGCATGTTCAGTAATATGAGGAAGAATATGCAAAGGATGGGACAACAATTTGTAAGTGGAATAGCTTTGTCTCTCTGAGGTACAGAAACATTTACAACTCTCTTATATTTTAGTGTTAAGGGACTTGAACTTAATCAACATTAGTTATAGCTAATTTATTTTATGGTAAGGTTCTGTTTGTAAATACGCATGCTGTCATAAAATGTACATTTTACCCTTCAAATGTCTATGAAAGTATGGTAACATAGACAAATATACTCAACATCTCAGTTTCACAAGAATTGCTATGACCCCTGAAAAACTAGGAACAAGTTCTTTCCTGGAGGGGGAGTATGCCATCCTGGTAAAATACTAGCCACTTCCTATACTGACTCAGCTAGGGAGAATTTTTCTTAAGCTCATTTGGTAGAGCATAATATATACTAGTAAGCCAGAGGTCTTGTGTTCGACTCCTAGCGGAGGCATTGAACTAAAGAATGACCTCTGTTAGCGTGGTTACATTATATTAAAGTATCATCTTCATAAACAAAATATCACATGGTGATTAAGTTTAATGAAACCTCAAACTGTTTTGATGCGTGTAGAAACTTACATTATGCTTGTTTTGATTTTGTATTACAGTCTATACAGAATACCTTGCAGCCTGATCCTAATGCCCACAGTTTCAGCCAGACATCATTCATGTCCTACTCCAATATGCCAGGTCAGGGCCAACCCAAGGTTTACCAGTCTTCTTCATCCACACGTGTTGCACCTGGTGGGGTAAGTCTGCTGTGTGTGTATCCTACAAAGGGGCAGCATGCATGTCTGCTCAACAGTTCTCAATATCTCTTGAATATTCTTGTCTTGCTGCTTACATTGTATAACAGCTTTTTGGCCCATTTTGAGTTATTTTCTAAAACGTCGGGTGTTTTGTTTATAAATATAGGGGTGATTTACAAGACAAAAAATACCATCCTTTGATGAATAAAAGTAATGTTTCAATAAGTTTTGATTACAGTTATGATACCATTGGCACAGTCTTATATAATACTCGTCTAATTCTGTGATAATGTGTACTGATAAATTTAAATTAAACTACGTACAAATTAAGACAGCTCCATTGTTAGACCTATTACCGTACGTTCACACTTGAAGCTTTCATATTTAAAATGTGTCTAATTGATGGGAATCACTCAAAAAGTTGTTTGTAAAAAGAAAACCTGAATACATAGTTGTATCTGTATAGTCAAATAAATTATTTTCTCAATTAATAAGATTTATTCTTTCTTTTTAACTGACTTAGCTGATATATATATATAATTGACATATGACCATGTGACATTCGCTTTTAATTTCCATGAATCATTACAAAACTGCATTTGAATATTCATGGGCATAGAAATATAGATGATAAACAGTTTATAACACAATTTTTTCAGTGTTTCTCGTTCGAACAATTTTCCCATCACGAGCACATGGATAAAATCTCCAGTCTACCTGTCGTGGCCTCCATTTTATCCACATGCTCGCAATGAGATAATTGTTCTCAAACAAACCCTTAAAACATAATGTGATAATCTATATTATAGACTTTCAGGCCTCCATGTTTTAATGGTTTGTCATGAGAACAATGAATCATAGATTATCACACCGTGTTAAAGGGTTTGTCATGAGAACAATGAATCATAGATTATCACACCGTGTTTAAGGGTTTGTCATGAGAACAATGAATCATAGATTATCACACTGTGTTTAAGGGTTTGTCATGAGAACAATTTTCTTAAAAAATGTATTGTTTTGTTGGGCTGGAAAATAAAAAATACCTTTATTGTGGTCATCTCAAATAATTCAAATGTCTTATACATAAACAGGTGAGAGAAACCCAAAGAACTCTGAGAGACTCAGAATCTGGTGTGGAGAAAATGTCCATTGGACATCACATCAATGAACGAGCTCATGTGGTGGAGCAGTCACGCAACCACCGAACAGGACAACAGGATCACAACGAGGATCTCATCAACCTTGACGAGGGTAAGTATTTATTAGCTCACTTGACCCTAAAAGCCTTGTGGGCTTGTGCTGTGGAATGGCATCGGTTAGTTAACTTTTCCTTTAAAATAATACTATTTCAGAAGTACAGTGTTGGACCAATGCAAGAGGACTCGGTATTATGTAAACCTTGAGGGTGTGGTCCTCCTTGGGGCAAAGGGGTACAGCCCAGCAGGGGAAATAGAGGTGAATCTTATATTCATCTTTCTGTACATATGGAGGGATTTTAACCAAATCTGATCTACCCATGTAGCTAGAGCATCCTTGAGCCAAGTGGACTCCATGCTATATAAATTGAGGGTTTGCAGTGGCCTCTTGGGTCAGAAACAGGGTCCTATGGGAGAAATTGGGCCATAACATGGATGTGGTAAAGATCCCCACCTCTATCCAACTATATACCCAATCTCTGCATCACACTGTCAAATACATCCATGCTACAAGAATTCACTCTGGATATGTTCCCATTCCAGGTTTGGGTTTCCAATAGGAAAAATAGACCTTAATCTTAAATGATCCCATGTTCATTTCTAAAAGTTTGCAAGTCTGTATGTCTACACCAATTGGCAAATGTCAGAAATAAACAATGGACCGCAGCTACAATATTTCCTGAATGCGGGGGATATAAAGTCTAGGTATTATCTTGCTCAATATGGAGTTAGAATTTATTATTTTCCTGATATCGTATTGAAATGTCATGCTATAAATTGATTAAATATTGAATCAAGTGTAGACCTGTCTATTGCCTAGTCAGTCAAAAACACTGTAGGCACTTTATTTTGAGGAATAGAACTGCTGCAATGCTGTTTTTAAAGTTCTGTGATTTGTATTTTGTCCAAAACCACAGATTTTAGTTTTATCTCCAGGAAATTGATAACTGACCATGTAACTGTTTTTTTAACAATACTGTTTCTTACAACTTGCAGATGACAAACAGGCATTTAATGCAGAGTGGCAAGGAAAGATGAAGAAGCAAAGACATGACAGAAACCGTCTGGATTATGCCCGACGAGGTGAGCGCTCACATGAACATCGACAAGAGAGATCAGAACGTCATGGAAGTGGACGCCAGCTTGCCATTGAGAGTCCCAGAGATCATGCCCAAAAAGACATAAGGAGACATGAACACACACACCGATACAGGGAGAGAGAATAAACTAGGAGTGCAACAGGTAGATTTGTTTTCTCCCCAAATCACTATAGGTTTCCTCACTCCTGATTTGTTGGATAAACCTGCTAGGATTTGGTAAACATTTTTGGTTACTAATATGTTACACACTGGACGTGATTTCGTCTTATCACTTATGACATCACGTAACAATGCTTTGCGACGTCATCTTCCATTGTGATGTCATGATTCACGGCAATTGTTTTCACCATCAGAAGCCTACATAGTGTATTTTCAAGGGAAACATTTAGCTTTCCAGATAAAATAAGAACGTTATGGGAAAAAAAGGGTCCCAAACTCGTGATGGTAGGTTATCATGTTTATCTAACTCTAGTTAGTTAATTTAAAAATTGTAAAAGACACTCGCTAAACCTCTTGTCTTTATACAATTTGAAAATTTACTGACTCACGTTAGATATTAACAATATATATAACCAACCATCACGAGTTGGGGAACCTCTATCTATCAGTAATTGTAGAGCTACGTTCTTTTTAAACAGGAAACATTCTGTGAAAATCTGTGTCTGTAATAATATTTCAGTTTCAGCAACACGTTCACTGCGAGATTAGCTGATTATCATAGGAGGTTTATGAATTTCCCCAAAGTTGGCCATAGCTCGTAGTACTAGCTGGAATTGATTCTGGAACAGTGTACATGAAATACTACTTGAGATCCATCTCATATAAGGGCTGGTCCAGAGTTAGCCATAGGGGATGGGAAGGAGACTCCAACATGTTACCCATGAAATCTTAAAAGTGGTTTGATATAAGTAATATAAGTGATGGTAGGTAGATCTGGTTTTAACCCCACCACCCGTAATATAAGTAATGGTAGGTATATCTGTTTTTAACCCAACCACCCGTAATATAAGCTATGGTAGGTAGATCTGGCTTTAACCCCACCACCCATAATATAAGTAATGGTAGGTAGATCTGGTTTTAACCCAACCACCCGTAATATAAGTTATGGTAGGTAGACTTGGTTTTAACCCCACCACCCGTAATATAAGTAATGGTAGGTAGATCTGGTTTTAACCCCACCACCTGTAATATAAGTTATGGAAGGTAGATCTGGTTTTAACCCCAACACCCGTAATATAAGTTATGGTAGGTAGATTTGGTTTTAACCCCACCACCCGTAATATAAGTCATGGTAGGTAGATCTGGTTTTAACCCCCCCACCCATAATATAAGTAATGGTAGGTAGGTCTGGTTTTAACCCCACCACCCGTAATATAAGTCATGGTAGGTAGATCTGGTTTTAACCCCACAACCCGTAACACAAGTAATGGTAGGTAGATCTGGTTTTAACCGTAGGTAGATCTGGTTTTAACCCCACCACACAAAATATAAGTAATGGTAGGTAGATCTGGTTTTAACCCCACAACCCGTAACACAAGTAATGGTAGGTAGATCTGGTTTTAACCGTAGGTAGATCTGGTTTTAACCCCACCACACAAAATATAAGTAATGGTAGGTAGATCTGGTTTATATCCCACCACCCGTAATACAAGTAATGGTAGATACAAGTAATGGTAGGTAGATCTGGTTTTAACCCAACCACCCGTAGTATAAGTTATGGTAGGTAGACTTGGTTTTAACGCCCCCGCCCGTAATATAAGTAATGGTAGGTAGATCTGGATTTAACCCCACCACCCATAATATAAGTAATGGTAGACTGCTCTGGTTTTAACCCCACCACCCGTAATATCCGTAATATAAGTTATGGTAGGTAGACTTGGTTTTAACGCCCCCGCCCGTAATATAAGTAATGGTAGGTAGATCTGGATTTAACCCCACCGCCCGTAATATAAGGAATGGTAGGTAGATCTGGTTTATATTCCACCACCCGTAATACAAGTAATGGTAGGTAGATCCGGTTTTAACCCCACCACCCGTAATATAAGCTATGGTAGGTAGATCTGGTTTTAACCCCAACACCCGTAATACAAGTTATGGTAGGTAGATCTGGGTTTAACCCCACCACCCGTAATACAAGTAATGGTGGGTAGATCTGGTTTTACCCCCACCACCCGTAATATAAGTTATGGTAGGTAGATCTGTTTTTAACCCCACCACCCGTAATATAAGGAATGGTTAGGAGATCTGGTTTTAACCCCACCACAAGTAATATAAGGAATGGTAGGTAGATCTGGTTTATATTCCACCACCCGTAATACAAGTAATGGTAGGTAGATCCGGTTTTAACCCCACCACCCGTAATATAAGCTATGGTAGGTAGACTTGGTTTTAACCCCACCACCCGTAATATAAGCTATGGTAGGTAGATCTGGTTTTAACCCCACCACACAAAATATAAGTAATGGTAGGTAGATCTGGTTTTAACCCCACAACCCGTAACACAAGTAATGGTAGGTAGATCTGGTTTTAACACCACCACCCATAATATAAGTAATGGTAGGCAGATCTGGCTTTAAACCCACCACCCATAATATAAGTAATGGTAGGTAGGTCTGGTTTTAACCCCACCACCCGTAATATCCGTAATATAAGTTATGGTAGGTAGACTTGGTTTTAACGCCCCCGCCCGTAATATAAGTAATGGTAGGTAGATCTGGCTTTAACCCCACCACCCGTAATATAAGTTATGGTAGGTAGATTTGGTTTTAACCCCACCACCCGTAATACAAGTAATGGTAGGTAGATCCGGTTTTAACCCCACCACCCGTAATATAAGTAATGGTAGGTAGATCTGTTTTTAACCCCACCACCCGTAATATAAGGAATGGAAGGTAGATCTGGATTTAACCCCACCACCCATAATATAAGTAATGGAAGACTGATCTGGGTTTAACCCCACCACCCGTAATATAAGGAATGGCAGGTAGATCTGGGTTTAACCCCACCACCCGTAATATAAGGAATGGTTAGGAGATCTGGTTTTAACCCCACCACAAGTAATATAAGGAATGGTAGGTAGATCTGGATTTAACCCCACCACCCGTAATATAAGGAATGGTAGGTAGATCTGGTTTATATTCCACCACCCGTAATACAAGTAATGGTAGGTAGATCCGGTTTTAACCCCACCACCCGTAATATAAGTTATGGTAGGTAGATCTGTTTTTAACCCCACCACCCGTAATATAAGGAATGGAAGGTAGATCTGGATTTAACCCCACCACCCGTAATATAAGTAATGGTAGGTGGATCTGGTTTTAACCCCACCACCCATAATATAAGTAATGGTAGACTGATCTGGGTTTAACCCCACCACCCGTAATACAAGTAATGGTAGGTAGATCCGGTTTTAACCCCACCACCCGTAATATAAGGAATGGTAGGGAGATCTGGTTTATATCCCACCACCCGTAATACAAGTAATGGTAGATACAAGTAATGGTAGGTAGATCTGGTTTTAACCCAACCACCCGTAGTATAAGTTATGGTAGGTAGACTTGGTTTTAACGCCCCCGCCCGTAATATAAGTAATGGTAGGTAGATCTGTTTTTAACCCCACCACCCGTAATATAAGGAATGGCAGGTAGATCTGGGTTTAACCCCACCACCCATAATATAAGTAATGGTAGGCAGATCTGGCTTTAAACCCACCACCCATAATATAAGTAATGGTAGGCAGATCTGGCTTTAAACCCACCACCCATAATATAAGTAATGGTAGGTAAATCTGGTTTTAACCCAACCACCCGTAATATAAGTTATGGTAGGTAGATTTGGTTTTAACCCCACCACCCGTAATATAAGGAATGGCAGGTAGATCTGGGTTTAACCCCACCACCCGTAATATAAGGAATGGTAGGTAGATCTGGTTTATATCCCACCACCCGTAATACAAGTAATGGTAGGTAGATCTGGTTTTAACCCCACCACCCGTAATACAAGTAATGGTAGGTAGATCTGGGTTTAACCCCACCACCCGTAATATAAGGAATGGTTAGGAGATCTGGTTTTAACCCCACCACAAGTAATATAAGGAATGGTAGGTAGATCTGGTTTTAACCCCACCACCCGTAATACAAGTAATGGTAGGCTGATCTGGTTTTAACCCCACCACCCATTATATATCAGCACAGGTGTCTGCCAACTCCCCAGTACTATTAATTATGGAATAACCCTAACCATATCAGTGTTTGCAGGACAAGAAGAATAAAAGAACATCAACTAGGCCTAGAATCTGGCCCCACCCTAGGGGCTATTACCAGGTCATTACATGGACATGATTGAGACCCCAATGATATACACATCAAGGTGAATGATATAGGCCCTCTGGACCTCTTGTTGTTGATGTAATTTTCAATGTTCCAATCTGTTTCTTTTTGCAGTGGGTAATAAGAAGAGTGAAGAATGAGAGCTAAACTGATCCCACCCAGGGAACTTTATCATGTGATACATGTACAGACTCATGGGAAATCTTATAATGCACAGCAGTACAATTAATAGGAGACCACCTTATTATCTCCACATAATTAAGATGTTGCCTTTTTAGGTATAAAACTGATAAGGATTATTCCTGTCACATTTATCAAAACTATTTAATACAGGAAAATTAGATAAGACAGGCTTGTACAATTTGATTGTGACTTTATATTACCTTGTCTTTACACACTAGTGTGAATAGCTAAATTTAAATATTACTAGTGATGGTAATTAGTTACATTTTCATAATTTATTAGGAGTTGCACTCAACCAGTCCATCACTAATTAGACTAGAGTTGGTTGTATATACTAACTTAAGATTAATTTAAGTTGTGTGTTTCTGTTGTTGAAAATGTAGTCACCTTTTAATGATGTGTATCCATCTTTTCATTAAGTACTAAACGATGGAAATCATGTGTGTAAATTACCTCTAAATAAAAAGTACTAGTAAACATGAGCATTTTAGAGATAGGTTATATTAATGTCATTCTACATCAATTCTGAAGCTTTGGAGGGCTGGATTTACCAGTTCAACTTTAGCATCATTATTAGTTTTGTTTTCATTGTTGACTAAATTTTGAGCCCATCACAGAGTATTATTATAGGTTGATTACTGATTCAAGCTAAAGGTTAATATTTCCTATCTCAATCTACTCAAAATTTTACATGCTTTTACTCATCTTGACTCATTGTTGAATGACATTGTCCGTTTATAACTTGATATAGTTGAAAAGATACAAAGGGACGTTGGTGATCTGGTGGTGTCCACATGGACCTTATTTAGTGTTGACTTCCCTTTGTTATTATCCTGTAGAGAACACTTCCAGTGGGATGCAAACTTTTCTTGGTGTTATGCAATCACAATTTCTAGATTTCTTCAGATTAGTAATAAATTATTGTGTAGATGTGTTTGTAATGTCAGCACTATACTTTACATGTTGGTATGAAAAATGTAAGTTTAAATTTTCATATGGTTATTTTGTGATATCTAGCAGTGTTTGTATAGGGAAACACGTTTTGCTGGATTAAAGCTTAAGTTGTGACTTTAAAAGGGAACTCTATCAAATCATGATCAGTCACATTTGTATGACCAATTAATTTCCTGATTTATTGAATTATAGTTTTCAAGAAAATCTGCAGAATTGAATTAACTTCACTTGTATTCTCCGCTTTGATATTCAGTGTACGTATTTGATGTCAGTGGTCAGTAATGTTAAGTTAGTAATGGAACTACAACCTCGTAGAAGTGGTAAGTAATTATCGTATATAGCAATGGACCTACAGTGTACAAACACCTTAATGTGATCAGTAATGTTAACTAATTAGGGACAGAACTACACATTTTCATTTCTTGTTTCACGTTTTATTCTACCAATTTTCCAACATTTAACCCCTATGTAACTTTAGTAGACTCTACCATGCATTGATCTGGATGAGTCCATTATGGTCTGCAGTAGCGGTTAAAAGCCAATCAGATACAGTTCTAATATCTAATGTGCTGATTAAGGATGGTTCTTATTCCATCTTTTTGTATTGCAGAGTTATCTGCTCTTGTGAGCAGGTATTGATTGTTACGTCATTTGTTTGTGAGAGTAACGTCAACAATTTCTGAGGAAACGACGTAATTTTCTCACACAAACCATTGACGTAACAATCAACACCTGCTCACAAGAGAAGATAACTCTGCAATACGCAAAGATGGAATAACCCAACCTGGGGCTATAACTGCCTCATCTTAAGTACAGCTACCTCAAACTTGGGACTCAGAATTGGTTAATAGAATTAAATTAAATTTATCATGGTATGAAACGGTAATTATGTATGCTCACCATAGCTGTGATTATGTAGGTGTAGGCCCACCATATATACACAGTCCTTGAAATCTGGAGCTAGATGATGTTGAACATTTTCTCTATCTACTAACCAAATTATCAGAACTGACCAGGTTAAAATATCCCTCTATAAGTATGGAAGCCTTTAGAAACTTAAATTATGCTTAGATGTAGACAAATAGTTCATGTTTCCAGAAACCCTATCAATCCTAGATTTATAATACCTTTCTTACAACTTTTATCAGTTTTAATTCAGAGTCAACGTAGAAAGTTTAAATTGAAAGATTTGCCTACCTACTTCTAATTTTTTAACCCATCATCAGATTATATCCTGTTTTCAAATTTTAGTACATGACATCAATGTTGTTACATGTTTCTCACACTGATTGACTGTAGAACATGACATCAATGTTGTTACATGTTTCTCACACTGACGGACCGTAGAACATGACATCAATGTTGTTACATGTTTCTCACACTAATTGACCGTAGAACATGACATCAATGTTGTTACAGGTTTCTCACACTAATTGACCGTAGTACATGACATTAATGTTGTTAATGTTTCTCACACTAATTGACTGTAGAAAATGACATCAATGTTGTTACATGTTTCTCACACTAATTGACCGTACTACATGCCATCAATGTTGTTAATGTTTCTCACACTAATTGACTGTAGAAAATGACATCAATGTTGTTACATGTTTCTCACACTGACGGACCGTAGAACATTACATCAATGTTGTTACATGTTTCTCACACTGACGGACCGTAGAACATTACATCAATGTTGTTACATGTTTCTCACACTGACGGACCGTAGAACATGACATCAATGTTGTTACAGGTTTCTCACACTAATTGACCGTAGTACATGACATTAATGTTGTTAATGTTTCTCACACTAATTGACTGTAGAACATGACTTCAATGTTGTTACATGTTTCTCACACTGATTCACTGTAGAACATGACATCAATGTTGTTACATTTTTCTCACACTGACGGACCGTAGAACATGACACCAATGTTGTTACATGTTTCTCACACTAATTGACCGTAGAACATGACATCAATGTTGTTACAGGTTTCTCACACTGATTGACCGTAGTACATGACATCAATGTTGTTAATGTTTCTCACACTAATTGACTGTAGAAAATGACATCAATGTTGTTACATGTTTCTCACACTGACGGACCGTAGAACATTACATCAATGTTGTTACATGTTTCTCACACTGACGGACCGTAGAACATTACATCAATGTTGTTACATGTTTCTCACACTGACGGACCGTAGAACATGACATCAATGTTGTTACAGGTTTCTCACACTAATTGACCGTAGTACATGACATCAATGTTGTTAATGTTTCTCACACTAATTGACTGTAGAACATGACATCAATGTTGTTACATGTTTCTCACACTGATTGACTGTAGTACATGACATCAATGTTGTTACATGTTTCTCACACTAATTGACCGTAGTACATGACATCAATGTTGTTACATGTCACGGGACCCTTACCTTGTAATGTTCTCAATTGTTGTCATTTCATTGTGCACAGAACCTGAATTAAGTGACCACCTGTATTAATACTGTAGTGGTTAATAGTAAATCCACCATTTATTGTCATCAGAAATCTGATAAATAGTCTGGTCCTTATAATTTTTTGGCACAGAAGATTATTTTATGTTGAACCACTGCAAAATATGTTTATTATTGCTGTATTCTAATAAAAAGTGGTAGCACTGGTGTTTGAGTTGATTGGCTACTTTTGCCTTAAATTAAAATCTGAGTTGAGCAAGGCTCTAACTATAGGTCTTCATGGTAGCGTTGCAATGCAGACATAAAGATTTAAAAAAATGACTGAGACTCCTATCAAGAGTTTTTCTCTCTTATGCACAAATTACGCATGTCACTTCAAGGGTAGTAAAGCACAAAAATTGGAAAAAAAATGTTAACTGATTTGATTTATTTCTATATTTTTTAATTATGACTACCGAGTTGATCCTTGTTTTAACATCTGGGTATATATAGGTATGCTGCTGTCAGATAAGTACAGTATATGAGGTACAGTTACAGTTCAGGTTTACTGTAATGGTCTCTAATGGGTGTAGCCTGTTTGAAGAACAGTTATTCCAACCACCAATATAGGTGTTTAACAGGAATCGGGTTTTAGAAGTTAAATTTGTGAAGGCTTGCCATTGATTCAAGACGATCTTGCATGCTGATGTTTACATTGAGGTTTTTTCCTCGTGTGAAACCAAAACACAATTGAAAAGGGGAAAAAAATCTTTTATTTGACTCTCCTAAAACTACCAGATTAATCTTTTGAAGGTGAATTTTGTAAATTGATACAGTGTGTGTCAACTTCACTAGCGAGCAAATAGTGAACATGGTAGTACAAACATTGATGAACACAATTTTAAGTATTAATTTCATAAAAAAAATCAACATTTTTTGGACTTAATCAACATGCTAAAATATTAATGAGGTAATAGTTTATAAAGTAATTATCAGTGATGAATTTTGAAATAAGTGAGCTTTAGGTGGCTTTTACACATTCTCTGGTTTCAAATGGAGCAAGCCTGTTGGTTTGGGTAATATACCTTGTAACAGAGATTCATCGATTACAATATTGAACAACTGATTTAACTTAATCTTTATTATTTTGAACTCCTTTATTATTGTAATTTAAGTTTAAAAAATTAAAATAATTTTCAAAGAATTATACAAGTTACTGGCATGTGCATAATGCACACAGAATTAGTTCAGCTAATGGATCTGAACACAGGAGATCAAAGTTCTGTCAGTGGTGTCGGAATATAGCGTCTTCAGTCAGATTATAGCCTATACATGGATACCTAATGTCTTCGTGTCTAGTTGATAGCGTCTTCAGTCAGGATATAGCCTATACATGGATACCTAGTGTCTTCGTGTATAGTTGATAGCGTCTTCAGTCAGGATATAGCCTATACATGGATACCTAGTGTCTTCGTGTATAGTTGATAGCGTCTTCAGTCAGGATATAGCCTATACATGGATACCTAGTGTCTTCGTGTATAGTTGATAGCGTCTTCAGTCAGGATATAGCCTATACATGGATACCTAGTGTCTTCGTGTATAGTTGATAGCGTCTTCAGTCAGGATATAGCCTATACATGGATACCTAGTGTCTTCGTGTATAGTTGATAGCGTCTTCAGTCAGGATATAGCCTATACATGGATACCTAGTGTCTTCGTGTATAGTTGATAGCGTCTTCAGTCAGGATATAGCCTATACATGGATACCTAGTGTCTTCGTGTATAGTTGATAGCGTCTTCAGTCAGGATATAGCCTATACATGGATACCTAGTGTCTTCGTGTATAGTTGATAGCGTCTTCAGTCAGGATATAGCCTATACATGGATACCTAGTGTCTTCGTGTATAGTTGATAGCGTCTTCAGTCAGGATATAGCCTATACATGGATACCTAGTGTCTTCGTGTATAGTTGATAGCGTCTTCAGTCAGGATATAGCCTATACATGGATACCTAGTGTCTTCGTGTATAGTTGATAGCGTCTTCAGTCAGGATATAGCCTATACATGGATACCTAGTGTCTTCGTGTATAGTTGATAGCGTCTTCAGTCAGGATATAGCCTATACATGGATACCTAGTGTCTTCGTGTATAGTTGATAGCGTCTTCAGTCAGGATATAGCCTATACATGGATACCTAGTGTCTTCGTGTATAGTTGATAGCGTCTTCAGTCAGGATATAGCCTATACATGGATACCTAGTGTCTTCGTGTATAGTTGATAGCGTCTTCAGTCAGGATATAGCCTATACATGGATACCTAGTGTCTTCGTGTATAGTTGATAGCGTCTTCAGTCAGGATATAGCCTATACATGGATACCTAGTGTCTTCGTGTATAGTTGATAGCGTCTTCAGTCAGGATATAGCCTATACATGGATACCTAGTGTCTTCGTGTATAGTTGATAGCGTCTTCAGTCAGGATATAGCCTATACATGGATACCTAGTGTCTTCGTGTATAGTTGATAGCGTCTTCAGTCAGGATATAGCCTATACATGGATACCTAGTGTCTTCGTGTATAGTTGATAGCGTCTTCAGTCAGGATATAGCCTATACATGGATACCTAGTGTCTTCGTGTATAGTTGATAGCGTCTTCAGTCAGGATATAGCCTATACATGGATACCTAGTGTCTTCGTGTATAGTTGATAGCGTCTTCAGTCAGGATATAGCCTATACATGGATACCTAGTGTCTTCGTGTATAGTTGATAGCGTCTTCAGTCAGGATATAGCCTATACATGGATACCTAGTGTCTTCGTGTATAGTTGATAGCGTCTTCAGTCAGGATATAGCCTATACATGGATACCTAGTGTCTTCGTGTATAGTTGATAGCGTCTTCAGTCAGGATATAGCCTATACATGGATACCCAGTGTCTTCGTGTATAGTTGATCTGTAATTAGGGTATTGTGAAGGATCCCTCAATCTTTTGTATTTTGTTTGTGATATTGAATCGATTTTGCAAATAATTTACATTCCGTAATGTTATTGTATGTCATTGACAATGTGTAGATATTTTTAAGATCTGATCACTAAATCTCTTTACAATAGCCATGAATCGAACGGTCAAGATACTGATTCTAAAAACTGTTCAACAAATTGTTAGCTCTTTACATGATAACATTGAAGTAATTTTTTTTTACCAGGAGTGCTGAATTTAAAACATTGTTAAT